AAGCTTGAACGTGTTCCTTTTCCATCCACAGAAACAGTTTGAGAAAATGTTGTTAGTGCTGTGTAATGAATTCAAGTACATGGCGTTTCAGGTTGGTTATGCATGTTTAATGCTGCACCGATGGTAACTATGGCAACAGCCCATGACGTAGTAATATTCAAAATAGTATATATCAATATAAATAATAAAATAATAATGCGATGTAATAGCCCCACAGAGGTACGAGCTTTAACACTATCCCTTTTCTGAGTTGGATAAACAAAGTGCGTTCTGGTCTAGCTTGGGTACAACTGAATAAAAGCTTATAAGCATGATGAACAAAAGATGTCGATACCCAAGCTAGAACACAATGTACCTTGTTCGCAGGTCTTTTAAACTTTCAATCTTTTAGTTGTCTGCAAAAATAAGATTAGGGTAAGGTAAGATTAGGGGGTCAACTTTTTTTACTTTTCTTATCCTCAGTGCAAGCAGATGGTGAAGCAGTACGGTTCACTACTTTATGAACTACTAACAGAGCTCAAACCTTATCAGGTTTGCCAGGTATTATATATGGGAAACGTCTATTAATTTTATCCGCATTTTATCACAGAATATAAAAATCGTCAGTTGCTTTCGGCGTTCGTTACTACATTTCAAATGCTCATTGATCGAAGAAAGTTTTGCGCTTTTAACCTTAGTTTATTTTGACCAGGAAATCATGATGTGCCCAGCAACCGCTCCTGGTAAGCTGGCGAGCGACCCGCGGTGCTTCCTGGGAGCATCGTTCTGGTGTGCCAGCTTGAAGAACGCTRAACGATGTAGCGTAAGTCAATAGACCCCTTGCATGTGACATCAAAGCAGCTCAATTTGGAACACAAAACAAAAGAATTTCATCTTCTGAGAAAAGGAATGTYCTCCAAATTGAGCTGCATTCCGACGTGCTGTCAAAACATCCATCTTTTATACATACAATTTTGTATAGATCTAACATTTTCTCTATTTACTGATCTCAATACAGGCACTTCAGTATTGCAAGTCTCATATTTGGCATGCGCAGAACTTCGGGTGACCAGCGACGTGATTGGTTGCCTTGCATTCAATCAGGACTCTTCTAGTGTATGCAAATGAGTCTAACCTGAGTATCAGGCCTAGGGGGGTCTGCCTGTTACTCAGGTTAAACTCGTCGTCAGTTCTTCCTTGCAAGATTTGTATCGTGTAGCCGTATCATAACTCTCTATATGACTATATATCTGCATGGGCTATAGTAAAATACTATTAAACAAACTCGTACTATACAATTTTTAGCTGTTTGAAACAGGTTGTTTCTGTATATCTTACTACAACCGTATCATCTCTGCATGCGGCACATCATCCCGGGGGGGGGGGGGGGTACCCCCCCAGAATTTGGGTAGGGGTGTTCCGCTGGGATTCTGAAAGGGGT